ATCTATGGCAATGGAAGCAGCAATCGAGACATTAGATGACATGTAGCAATGGGCAGGTCAACCACGAAGGGACTATTTCAAGTGTTGAGGAGCAAGGATGTCTCCTTGAGGAATAAGGTGCGCCTGACACAAGCCAGGATATTTCCAATCACCTCGTATGCATGTGAGAGCTGGGCAGTGAATAAGGAAAGCTGACGAAGAGTTGTTGCTTCTGAGTTGTGGTGATGATGAAGCATGCTGAAAGTACCATGGACTGCTAAAAGAACTAACAGATCTGTCCTGGAGGAAGTGCACCCGAAATGCTCCTTAGAAGCAAGAATGACCAGACTTGGTCTCACCTACTTTGGTCATGTTGTCAGAAGGGACCATTCCCTGGAGAAGGATGTCATGCTTGTTAGGGTGGAGGGTCGATGAAAGAGGGGAAGGCCTTCAACAAAATAGATTGACACAGTGGCTGCGGCGATGAGCTCAAATATAGGAGGGGTCATGGAGCTGGCGTGGAATTGGGCAGTGTTTCGTTGTGCTGTTCATGGGGTCGCTATGAGTTGGAAACGACTCGGTGGTACCTAACAACAACAAGATCTCAATAAACTGTCTCTACTGTGTTATTAAGGTCTTTTGAGAAGCCCATACATAATACCATTTTTCGTCTATCCTGTTGGCAAAGTTTTGTTTTTGTGCTGCTTTGTTATTAATGCTATAGCCAGCATTATGTTATGTGCCTTAGAGTCTGACCTGACTCCTAGTGAGCGCTCCTTCAGTTTCCGAGGCAGTATCACTACGGAAGTAGATTGCCCAACCTTCCTTCCAAGGAGTGGCTGGTGGGTTTGAACCGCCAGCCTTCTGGTTAGCAGTCAAGTACCTTAGGCACTACGCTACCAGAGCATTGGTACAGGTATAGTGTGTGGTAGAGGTGGGCACAGGAAGGAGGTTCTCTTATATACCTGCTGATGGGAGAATAAACTAGTATAAATGCTCAGATTGGCAGCACATGACAAAATCCCTAAAGCCATGCTGTCAGATCTGACTTAGCAATTTTATTACTAGGAATGTATCTTCAGACACTAATTGGAGCTATGGACAATGGTCTATCTCTTTAACAGTCATCCCAACATTATTTCTGATAAAAGCAAATTGGAAAAATACTCAGTATCCCAAAAGATATATTGATTGAATTAATCGTGGCATGCTCACAGAATAGGCCACATACAGCCAAAATAAATAATGCTGATGCAAAAGAATACTTAGTAACTTCAGGCAAATTATCAAGACAGAGTGAAATTAAGCAGGTAACAACAATAATTCATTATGTTCCCAGTTATTTTTTAAGTAGCTATGTATGGATTAAGGAGGCCTGTTGGTGCAATGGTTAAGCAGTTGGCTGTTAACCAGAAGGCAGGGGGCTCAAAACCAGTAGCAGTTCCATAGGAGAAAAGACCTGGCAATCCATTTCTGTAGAGGCTACAGCCTAGGAAACCCTGTGGGCAGTTCTACTCTGTCATATAGGCTCGCACACAAGAACAGCATGTATACATTAGGAAAAGACTAGAAAGATAGAAACCAGAATGTTTTTCTGAATACCTAATTTAAAATTTCTCATTGTGATTTTCTGAAGTTTCCAAATTTCATGAAATGAACTTATATTACTTTTGCATAAAATGTTTTAAGAAAAATTAAATATCACGGGAAAAAGGAGAACTTCACATAGTTTGCATTCAGAACACCTTTGCTCAAACTTCTAAGAATGCCCTGAAGTCTACCAATTCAGACTTCCTTGTACCAGCAGGGAAATGGGTTCCTTCAGGTGCTGAGAATGATCATGGATACCTGGATAAACATCCTTATTTTATTTATGTGACTTGTCAAGCTACCCAGTTTTTAGTCATGCTCCTGAGCACATCGATTTAAACAGCAAAATTGAGCCTGATGATTTCTCTCTTGATTCTGACAAGGGTCAGAAACTAAACTTCCACGTAAAATTGCCCATCTCAATAAATTAAATTCATGTGTGCTTTTCTGAAAGGGCTTTTCATAACACTAATACCTTTGAACAAACTGGCTTCCACAGACTTTGGAAAAGGAGTGAACAACCTTGTCTTACACAAGGGTCAATTCAGGAAAAATAAAAATGTTTATGAGTCACATTTTTCTCCTACCCAAAATAAAACTAGCTTTTTAGAGTTCTAGGGGCAGAGGTGGGAGGGTGGGAAGAGTCTGTTCTTACAAGCTGTAAACTACCTTTTTTAATAGGAGAACAACAGTTATAATATGTGCACTGCTTTTTCACCATGAGAATTATTCTTCCTGGGCATATGTTGAAATGAAGCAACACAAAAACATCTTAATCTCTCATCTGGAAAATCATTTTGTGTCCTATACTGAGAAGCTAGGTGGTCCCAGGGACATCACTACCTTAAGGAGACCTGTTCCAGTAATGTTGTGAGAGAGAGAGTTGAGGAGCAAATAGGATAATGAAGAAGTAGAGACAACACATGTTTGGCATTGAAGAGTGCAGAAGCAAGAGGAGATGGTTCCTTGGGGAAAATATGAAGAGGGTAATTTATTTGAGGATGCACTAGGTCAATAGACAGTGGAGGTGGAAGATAACAGATCAGGGAGAAAATCAAGAGCAACAGTGGAGAGTTTATCCTGAAAACAAAGAAGATGGCTTCTTCCCTTGAAGTGGGAGAAAAGCAAGGAGGTAAAGATGAGAACATTTCTCACTGTATATAAGAGGGAAGGGCATCTGTTGAGAGTGTTCAGAGAAGAGTTAAAACAGCTATAAGAAGTGAGGAAGAAAATCAACTCAGCCAAGCAACAATACTGGTAATTCATCCTCTTGAAAGGGGGCCAGTTGGCATGTTTGTAGGGCTTTTTCCAGTAGGAGCAGAGATAGTAGATTCAGAAATGGGAATTGTCAAGACAGGATTGATAGAAAGACAGGAAAAAAAGACGGAGGGTTCCAGAAGGGGTACTATGGAAGTCATTGGCCATGGATTGATAAGAGGTAGCTAAGGAACAGGGGGGATGGGAATTCAGTGAACGTTGAACATTCACTAAGAAATCTTATGGGTGTTTTTCATTGATCTTTATCACAGTATTTGACCACATCATATTCCTTAAATGTTCTCTTTTCCATCAGAAATCCTATTTTTTTTTTTTTTGTTCTATCTCCCAGGCCAAGTGACCACAGGCCTGGGAATAGTCAGGGCTGGTCACCATATCAGTGGGATCCTAAATTCTCTATAAGTCACTTCCAGCTTCCAGGTTCTATCACCCTGAGCTAGGTATTTTCAGCTGATAGGTTCTCCTCTTCTTTCAAACCCCAGCCCTGGCTGAGCTCTACCAGTTTTACCAGTTGCCATTGAGTCAACTCTGACTCATGGAGACCCCAAGCATAACAAATAGAACTCTGCTCCATAGGATTCTCAGTGGCTAATTTTTCAGAAGTGGATCACCAGGATTTTCTTCCGAGGTGCCTCTGGGTAAACTTGATCCTCCAACCTTTGGGTTAACAGCCAAGCATATTAACCATTTGCATCACTTATGGACTCTCAGTTCTAACTTGTCTTAATTCTATGATATTCCTTTGCCTGAAGGAGCAGCCTCATAGACACCAGGCTTCTCCTGAATATGAATACTGCAGCCCTGTGACTAGAGGGCATAGAGGGTAAAGATTCCCTCCCTCAGGGAAAAAAGCCAGAGGACCCTAGAAGTTGCACACTGGTGACTCTTGCCTCCCAATGAGCACATTGTACAATCCTTAATTATGAGGATCACTGAACACTATGCAAACAGAGTTTACTCAGAGAAGGTATTAAGGTTTCTCTAAGGAGAAAGCAGGCTTAAGTAACCTCCTTACATTTCTTAAGAAAGAATAAATAAACATGAACATAAGCGGGAACTAGTAGATCCAATTTATCTACACTCTCAAAAAGTCTTTCACAAGTAAGCCACACAAAGGTTACTTTGAAAAGTAGACTCTATTGAGAATCAAGCTTGTAATCATCATTAACATCATAGAATTTTATTTGAAATTTTAATTTAAATATGTAACACTGTTGTAGCTCGTCTTAGAAATGCCATGTCCTTAAACCATGTTAATGAACAAAACTGAACTGAAATTATGCTATTACTACTGAACAGCCACCTAGTGTTTTACTGTTGGTACTGTCCATGTGTAACTGGTGCTGTGCTGAGTCTATAATTATTAAAGATGTTGTAATGATAACACTCACAGGGGCACATTATTGTTAATAATTACTACTAATGTAGGTGGTATTTTAAAATAAAGTATAAATGGATAGCACTGCTTCTAGAATTGAGATACCTTTTTTTTTTTTTTTTCCTGAATCTTACAGTATTATGTTCTGTCTGGTATAGGAGTCCTTGGGTGGTGCAGGCAGTTAATACAGTCAGCTGCTAACCAAAATGTTGCAGGTTTGAGTCTGCCCAGTGGAACCACAGAAGAAAAGCCTGTTGATCTACTTCTGATAAACCAGCCATGGAAAACTCTATGGAGTACAGTTCTACCCTGATACACATGGGTCGTCATGAGTTGGAGTCCATTTGATGGCAACTAGTTTTAAAAAACAGAATACGCAAAATGTATGGGAGATATTTTGTCTCACTTTGTCCTCACTTCAACATTATAAGGAATAGGTAATCATCTTTCTTGTACAGGTGAGTACAAGACATACAGTCAGGAAGGTATAGAACCTGTGCTAGAGTTCAGGAGTTCTCTGAGCTCAACTCTCAATTACTTGATTCCCCACTGCCAAAACTAAAAGGAGTGATCAGTGATCCTGAAAGCGCAATGCCTTGTTATTTTAAGTTTTGTAATGAGAATTCCCCATGACAAGGTAGATGCCCAGCCAGCACTTCCTTCCAGAGTGCTTCACTATATAGGTTGATTATGGGCCCTTGGTCAATACCAATTCCGGGCAGTGTGGTGAACTTGAGTTGAAAATAACTGCTCTGTGTTCTCTGCTCTTTTCTAGTCCATTGCTCGCCGTGTCTTTTGCTACTTGCTGTGCTGTTCCAGGAGTTGCCCTGCTGACCTGGGGGGTGAATCCACTGACAGGGGCCCTAGGAGCCTTCAACATTTTCCTATATACCTGCTGTTACACACCACTGAAGAGGATCAGCATTGCCAACACGTGGGTTGGAGCGGTGGTTGGGGCCATCCCGCCTGTGATGGGCTGGACAGCAGCCACAGGCAGCCTCGATGCTGGTGAGTATCTCCCGCTATACGGTCTCAACTTCCCTCAGCAGACATGGAACATAGGTTCCCAGAATGAAAGCTCTGGCTTTTCTCTGCAAGTAATACATACTAGTCAGATAGACATTTCCTTCCCAGAATTGCAGAACTTGGCATTCGATTCTTACTCTGTACTAATTCTTTTAGCAAATGTGCTGATGTGGCTGTCTGAACTTATTGCAACTGCAGAGCTAAGGGAAAACCACGGCATTCCTGGCTCTGCGGTGAACATGAAGACACTTTCCCCAGTAGGGAACATCTAAGGGAAAACGCGGGAGCAGTGCTGCCTCTCAGCCTGTGACTACAAGTATAATGAAAAGAAAGTATCTGGAAATCACAAATCAAGTGTGGAGTGACTGACTTGTTTGAGAGGTCCCACTTCATGGAGAAGGTGTCTGGGACTCAGCCTTCATACACTGCCAAAGTGATGTTACTTGTCAGCAGACTGCTTCGTTAACTCTTTCCTACGGAATTGGGTTCTTTTCTCCCCCTATTTTCATTAGTTTGTAATTTATTTTTATGTGATTTGTTTAAATTGTTCATACTGTTACAATGAAACTGTTGAAACATTTCTACATTTTTTTGGTGGTATGTCACAGCTAAATATGTGGGGTGAAAATAGCTCATTTTTGCCATTTGTAAGGGAAGTTTCACAGTCTAATTAGTTAAGTAATTAGTGTTTTTGACCAACACTTAAGAAGGAAGTAGTAAGGTTTCCTGCAGTATATGTAAGTACATATTTTTCACATGAAAGATCAAAAGGCAATTTGACCATAAACCATTACTCTGTGAGCCATATTTCTGAAACTTTTCATAAAAGCTCTTATACTCAGATTTGGCAAGTTTACAAGGGCAATTGTACCTTTACCATTATTGTCTCCTAGAACATGCTAATGTCCTTGTTGGGGAAAGATTTTAATATCCTGTAAATGTTGGAGTTTAGTGATTCTACAGATATAATATTCTGAAACTTGTGCTTATTTGGGTTGTCGTTTTGCTCTGCAATAAATGTAAAGCCAAGTCATGTCCACATGTGAGATAGTATTATTAGCTCAGTGGTTGAGAACATAGACACCAGAGCAGGGCTATCCAGATTTGTATCCCAGCTCTAGTGCTTCTTAGCTGTGCAACCTTGAGAAATTTACATCTTTGTGCTACAGTCTTCTCATCTCCAACATGGGGCTAATAATAGTCTCTTTTTATGGAGTTGCTCTGAGCATTAAATGAGTTATTAAATGTAAAGTGGAGTTCCTGGGTGATGCAAATGGTTAAGGAACTCAGCTGCTAACTGAAAGACTGGAAGCTTGTGTCCACCCACAGACACCTTGGGAGAAAAGCCTGGAAGTCTGCTTCAAAAACATCAGCCATCAAAAACCCTGTGGAGCACAGTTCTACTCTGACACACATGGGGTCGACATATGTCAGAGTCAACTTGATACAACTGGTTTTATATGTAAAGTGCTTAGAATGAGTTTGGACCTTAGTAAGGACTCAATTATTAAGTCTTCCTCATTCATACAGTGGGAAGATTAATACAAATCAAGAAAGTCATGTGGGTTGCTTCTTTTATTAATATTTTATCATGTTCTCTGAAGTTTACATAGTAAATTAGATTTCCATGTAGCAGTTACTACACAGCTTGTTCAGAGACATTGGTTACATGTGTTAACATTCTCATTAATTCCCTTCTAGATATTTCACTTCCAGTAATCTGGCTTTTCTCTCCTCTTACCCTTTCATCTTTGGTTTAGCGTAATAGTGGACCATGTGGTCTCATATAGATGATTTTTTAAAGGTTCACACTACTCACTGGGGATAATATTCTTTATTTAATGAACCAGTCTGTTACTTAGCTAAAAGGTAACCTCAGGAGGTAGTTTCAGTTCAAGATTTATGGAGTTCTCAGGGCAATAGTCTTGGGGAGCCCCCTAGTCTCAAATGCCGTAGTAAGGTTGGACTTTAGAATTTGAGTCCTATTCTACATGTTTCTTCCTGTCTATCAGAATCTATCTATGTGGCCCTGACCAAAATGATAATTAGTAGTAGCCAGGCACCATCTAGTTCTTCTGATCTCAGGGTAGATGAGGCCATGGTTCATGTAGACTGTTAGTCCTGTAGACTAGTTTCTTTTCTGAGTATTTGGTTTCCTTCTTTCTCTTTAGCTCTGGAAAAGAAGAGACTGATAGTTGTACCTTAGATGGCTGCTTACAAGTTTTTAAGACCCCAGATGCTACTCACCAAACCAAACTAGGATATTGACTATATTGTGCTAATTGACTGCATTATCCCACAAGACTATGGTCCTACGCCTTCACACCCAAAAAATCAATCATGCAAAGTGTTTGGTGATGTCTAAGAAGTATCCATAACTTAGCCCTATCTGTGCTTTATTATATATGCAAATATTCATGTATATATACATATATATATATAGGAGCTGTGGTAGCATAGTGCCTAAGGCACTTGACTGCTAACCAGAAGGCTGGCAGTTCAAACCCACCAGCCACTCCTCGGAAGGAAGGTTGGGCAATCCTAC